TTAGTTTTCAATACAATATCAGAAAATACATATCGGGATTCTACTAAGTAAATCACATTTTGAATTTGGTGGTCTGTGTCTCGGCACAATAATGTATGCATTTTTGGGTCGGATTAATCCGGCATTTGCCAGTTAGCGGGTTTCCCAGGCCTGGACTCTATATAGAGAGAGTTTTCTTAAATAATGAACGTATTTTTTATTATATTGTATATTATTTTTGTAGTGTATGATAATAAACAATTTTATTTTTACAATAATTACATTATTCTAACATAAATATTTTAACGAAAACCCTAGACCTTTTGGCGAGAGAACCATGCCCCCCCCTGCAACCACTACTACTCAGGGCCTACACGTTCTTCTACACACATTTCCAGGGGGCGCATCCAGCAAATCTTTTTTCGGAGGGGAGCATAATATTTTTTGCTAAATAATTAACATATTTCTTATTATATTATATATTTTTGTAGTTTATATATGATACCGTATTATATAATTATATTAATATTATTTATAATATTATAACCATATAATATTATTTTCACTTTCTCGCACTTACTAATGTATGAAGAGTGTGTATTGTAATTGTGCACCGAAAAAAGACGACTTTTCGGCACAAAAACTCTTAGTGCCGACCTCTGGTAAGGAAAAAAATGAATAAATTTAGTTGTTAAATGTAGAAAAAAATCCTCTAATACGTGGTGTAACCTGAATTCATGTTTTGTGCGACCATCATACCGAAAAATCGTCTGTCTGTCCACAACTCTAGCACAGTTTAGCCGATGTTCTACAAAATTGATATTCTCCTATCGTTCTAGCTGATGTCGCGGCCCCGGGGATATGTAACCGATATTTCCATTTTGGGGTGTAGTTTGCATGCAGCTGATGGGCCATTATCAAAATGGCTCCAAATATATTGATTAAATTTCGTTGTTGAATAGTGCAAAGGACGTTTAAGAGAATGGCACAGGTTTCATTTCTGCTGACATTCCGATTTTCCGAAAATTGGGGGAAAAAATTGAACTTCAAAATTGAAATAGAAATTTTTGCCTCACAAAGTTGTACAAAATATACTCTTTCAAAAAGGTTTCAATTTTTGGAAAAAATATAGTGGTTTTTCGTAATTTCTGCTTGAAATTAATCAAATATATACAGGTTTAACTATGAGCCATGAGAAAAAATGAATGAATGATATAAAAATAATTAATTTAATTTTAATTTACTATTGAATATGCTAATATAAATTCTATTTCTACACTCTCGCGTTTTTAATTTTTACTCAATTTGCATTCTCTATAGTATTGATGTATTTTTTTAAACAATCTTAATAGAAATTTTGCAAAAACGTAGCATCGATACTTGAGAAGCTAATTGTTGCCGCACGTCGAGATGTTGGCGGTGATAAGATACAGCTGTTTTATTAAGATCAGCTGATGGTGGTGTATCTCTTAGACCGAGAGCCAGTACTTCCGTTTGCGATGAATTTCGCAGCAGTTTTTTATAAATCATTCCTTAGAATTCCCGGTGAGATATGTTATATATCGCTTAATATTATCTGATCCCTAAAAACGTTTATTGCGTAATGAATGAAAGAAAAACGATGAAACGCCATCGGTACTGTTATCTTACGATGAAAGGCAACTCAGCAGAGTGAGCAGCCAGAATTTTTGTAATTATTTGATGTAAATTGCATATATTCTAATTAATGATGATATTATTAGCCAAGCGTTTTTGACAACACTGTGCTGGCTACAGTGTGTTGTTCGCTTGGTTGAATTGCACATTTTCTAATATTCGTAATAGCTGAAGTCTTAGAAGAGCAGATAATGCAATATTTGAATATTGCGTAGCTATTTCCAATAACGCCAGAAAGTATGTGCTGTTGGAGCACTACTAGTTGAATGATTACATAATTCTAACATAAATATTTAAATAAATTTTCACAAATTAAAAAGGTAACAATCGTTTTCCTCGTGGATATTCTCAGATTGATGTCAGTTGTCGTGGCCCATGGAATTTGATCCAGATATCTTAATTTTGGGAATGAAATCCTGACGGCATCGTCAAAATGATCTACAAACGACAAACGTTTTCTTCGATTTTTTGCTGGAATAGATTATGCTTACAAAAAGGGCGCAGATCAACTTTTATTGTCTCTCAAAAATTGTTGAAAAGTTTGAAAATGTTTTTTTTCTTAAAATCTGTTCTGAAACGATTTTAAAATGTCTAGAAATTATTAGCACAATGAGACCGACTTTGTGCCAACTAATTTAAAATATATTTGCAATTCTGAACTTGTAATTTGTCGATGCTGTACTCCTTTGTTTTTTACAATTAAATATTTCTTACGTGGGCCAACTACCCATCCAGTCCGTACTAGGTAAATGCTGAAAGTGTATTCTTTTAAGGACACAAGATGGTTGACTGCGGAGTCTGTTTAAACATTAGCCTTCATATTTCGATATCCCAATATTATTTATTGCTGTTGTTGCAAGTATTATTTAGAATATTTTACTTTCGGCATGCCATCAAATTGAATATGTATTTTGATAATTAAAGGCCTTTACTTTAACAAACAATGTTTAATAATTTCTTTACAACGAATAATTTGGCTATCTTGCAAGATGTTTTTTCGTGGCGCTTGCAGTTTGTGAAATTGCTTTCTTCCTCGTAGCCCTCGCTGCCGAAGTTTAAGGATCATCCCCGAAAAATCCCGTCGACCATCAGTAATCTTCTCATCTGCTTTCTTGATGTTGAAGTTATATTCAAGTTAATGTCCTAAATCTAACATTAAGCGATTTGCACTGTTGACATAAATAGTTATTCGTGAATACCTCAGGTGGACTTCCCCACTTGAGACTGCTTCCGTTCACAAGAACTCAAGGATCTTTCTGCCGAACAATTCAAATGATTAGCTAGCTTCACATGTGCTCGCGATGGTGACAAACAATCTTCCGATGTGCTCGGAACGGCGACCAAATGTCTTCTGACAAAATCATGGCTCTGACGCAGCATGTCTCTTTCGTTTTCGTTTGTTTACCAAATTTTTGTTAGTAATTTTGTCATTCACTGAATTTTGTTTTGCGATAGTTAATTATCTTGATTCGACGTTTCTAAAATTTGTTACCATTGTCTGTTCATGTCTCGTATGTTTCGTTAGGTGGCGCTTCCAAAATCAGAATGTATACTCTATAAATGCCTACTTCTCAAATGTCCACAGTCATGTTTATTTCGTCCTAGGAATCTCCAGTGTTTCGTATTTATTGTTTATTTTGGCCTCGAATATTTCTAAGTTCTGCTATTTACATCCCAATATTTTCATCTAAAATTTCAATGTCCAATATGGCCACCCAATGTCTTCTTTGACAATGTGGGATACTACTAGTTTATGGACATCCGCTCCCGGGTACCTACATTTCGAAATGAGTCAGTATTCCATGTTATTGTAATCAATAATTTCCGTGAGATATCTGGGTGTGTTTCAGTTCTTCTTATTATATCTTTAATTATTCATGTTCAATATTTTGAAAATAGGTTTGGAGTAATTTTGAGTGAAAATTAAAAAAAAAAACTACAACATACGTTTACAAGGTTTTCTTAAAATATTGCTCCTCATTTTTCTTTAAAGTACTTGTTAGATAGAGCACAATGCACGTAATCACATAACAGAAGTGTAATTTTGATTATAAACTATCCACCTTTTAAAAATACACAAATGTAATTTTTCGAAATATGTATCTCTTATATCGCATCGGAAATATTTACTTTGCTTTAAAATAATTATTATTAATTGAATTTGTGAGCACGAATAATTCAAATGGTCTCCAAAAATTTCTCAAAATTTCAAAACCTTTGGAAAATAAATGAGCCCAAAATTCTGCATTTTCAGACTCTCGAACAACATTTTTTCAAAAGTAACTCTACATTTCTTCCCGGAAATGTTTATATATTTTTCTCTTCCGTAGGTTTTGTCTTATGATAATCTGAATTTTAATTTTGAGAAAACTGTTCGTTAATTTGTTCGAATTTGATAGATGTTAAAGCAAACGAGACTTTGTTGATATTGTTACGACCACGAATGAGGTGAATTGAATGAGCGTTGCTCTGCACATAAATGTTTATGCGTAAAAAAGAACACAGTTTTACTTACAAATAATATTATTATTTTATTATTATCATTTAGAATTTCATTATTATTATTTTATTATCATTTAGAATTTCATTATTATTATTTTATTATTATCATACAGTAAAGTTAGCTGGCCTCCTCAAAAAGATTTTGTGCAGGTGCGCTTAAGTAAGCGGATACTAAAGCTATGGAGTTCGAATCTCGCGTAAGTAGTAGTTTTCAGTTGTGATTGGGTTGTGGAGGTGTTTCCGGTGTCTTGTATATCTTCTGTGTATTTTAATCCTTCAATAACCCCTTTCCCTGACCGATAACTGTGTGTGCAATGTGTCTCGGTGTGTAATTGAGGATCTGGCCCCCTCCACGCACAACAATGCTGCACACAACGAGATGGGCCCTTGGGCTACGAACATGACCGAAACGGACCTAACGGCTACCTCGACGTGTTGTCTTGGGAGCTTTAGAGAGCACATATCTGGGAATCGTCCCCAGAGGAGCGGTAGTTAGAATACCGCAGGAGTCTCCGGTAGAGAACCCTTGAGCACCGCTAGATGGCACTCAGGAAGGAGATGGAGCAAGAGCAAATATCTAGTACTGACTCAAAAGAAAGGGCTACTAACTAGAATGAACAAGTCTGTGAGCAGTTTGAAGCACCATCAGTTATAAATTTGTGTAATATATTTAAGTATCTAATATTTATACATAAAGAATTATACAGTATTGTTCAAAGAATTATTTTTAGCGCTCTGTTGATATAACGTAAAATATCTCGTAAATGACAGACTTAGATAATCAAAACACCAAAAGTTGATTGATTGCTAACTTTATAAAAACATGTCATAATTTTATTTCTGCAGATATTTACGACTTGCAGTGCCCGAAATAAAAGGCAGCATGATGGAGAGTAGTGATTGCCGTCATAAAGCAATTAGTGCTCATGGAGAACCAGAAAATTATGGAAGTATTGTTAATATGCTGGGAGATCAGACGGATCCAAAGTTCACAGTCTTTCAAGATAAAACGGACCATGTGACTACTCTGGCTGTTGGTAAGAATAATTTTCCCACGAAACATTTTCTTCCAAGTAAATGTTATAAATTATTTTTTTTTATAGAGGAACTTTGTACAAATAATTTTGAAAATACGTATTAGAGGAAAAATTAGAATATGAAAAGGAATTATTCTGTACATTTGACTATTTTTCATGAACACTGCCCACTTTTTTCACTGCATAAGTACCAACATCTGATTGTCACTAATATGCCTATTGAAAAAGGTAAATTTTTAAGGTACCCCTTCACCTAGTATTTCATTTATTTTTTGTGAATGACGCTTGACACTCAGACAATTTTCCCACGTTGCCATGTTCTTTTTGCTCATTTTCTATTTTAATTTAAGTTCCTTACATTCATAGAAATATAACTTTGCATGATTCCTGGAAATAATTTTAAAATCATCTCTTTGGTGTGTGAAGTAAAACAGAACATAGCATATTAATTGTAAATAGTTAGTGGCCCATAAATTATAATGTGGAAGGTTCTTGGTTCTGGGTCCAATAATGAATGAGTTCTATCATATTTTTGCTACCAACATTTTGGCTACATTTTGACCCGTCTTCAGGGCCATACTTATATGACTTGTAATTACAATTAGTCACATAATTATCTAGATGTTTACAACACATAAGAAGATAACCATGGTACTAAATCTAAAACATCACCTGAGTGACATTAATACACATTAAAAATACATTAAAAAGAAATAGAAAAATTTAACGTATTTACAATTTCGTCCGTGAATCCTTTTAATGTAAAGAAATTTTGTGGTGTATTGCATGAAGAATAGTCATGGCAGACATGTGGTCAAATTGATTATCATATTGGGATTTTGTTCAAAAAGTGTATTGAATGCAAATATATGTATAAATAAGGGTTCAATTCAAAATATAAATTAGACCTATAATACATAAAAATTGTTACATAAAATATATTGCATTTAATGGCAAATGCAATGGCATTAGAACCTGGTAACCACAATAAAAATTAAATGCAGCAAATGTATACACTCTTCAAAAACACGATTATCAACTTTGATATGGAGAAATCTTATGAATAACTTGTATAAATCATGTTGTATCCTAATATCAACAATGATTCATATTTGTAACAATCTACTCAATGATAGGAAGAGATGTTTCATTTTTTGTTGGTTTAGATAGAAAATGTTCCTTGTCTGAAAGTGGTTTCTAAAGTATGTTTTTTCTTATATTTCTTTAATGTATATTTCTTTTACAGGCATTTTTGATTGTGTTAAGAGAACATGGAGTATTTATTCAGACAATCCAAAGAAAACTGAACCTATTGTTGTTCTACCTATTCAGCTGAAAACAGACAAGAAGTAATTATCTTAAAATATTATGACATCCTTCAATATTGTATCCTGACGGTTACAATACAAACAATCAACAAGAAAAAATATCTCACTAACTCTCTCTGTCTCTCTCTCAATTACAATTACAGTGAAATGATATTGAAACATTAACATTAATATTACTTTCAATGAAACTGCTGTACTATTGTAGAAAGTCAGTGAAAATATTATTTTGTTCATGTTTTTTGTTTTATGTTTGTAAACAATGTTTACAAACAAATTGTGCGCTTTTGTGCTTTATACAATTTACAGAAAGGTATTTATAATTTTAAGTCTTTTTTGAGGCTTGAGAGTGTTTAGAATGAATAATGTAAATTTGGTGTTTTGTACTTCCATTGTCCATACTAATAAACACCAGTTTTCCTCCACAATACGTTGCCATTATATTATTTATGATTTTATCCCTCACCAGCAGCCTATATTAGAATAATAGTATATTGAATTAAATATGCATTATTTTATTTCCTTCCTGATTCCATTGCTCATTCTGACGAAGTTGCAAGTTGGCACGATGTTTTATTAGTAAATGAGGAATAAAGAATTACAAAATTACTACAAACTATCTGATTATCGAGGATTGGCTAGGTATTTATCACTAAGCAGCATCGCCTACCTCTCGCATCCTATCTGACCTGCCATGGCTGTCCTCTTGCCTCCCACCCTGCCAACCAAACCTCTTTTGTTGCAGCTGTTCCTCCTCCCATTCATCTTGCTCCGTCTGCTTATTCTGCTCCTTGTGGTATGCTCATTCTGTCTCTTCCTTTTGCTCCAGTCTCTCTCCACACTCCACTCTTTCCACAAAATCCGCTCTGCCCGCTCCAGCCCTTCCATCCGGCCCAACGCCGTCTCCTCCGACAACAGTGGCACTTAGGTGCATTGGGGAAGGCTTTTAACTAAACATAAAACTAGGCTGTCCGGGTGACGCCGCGTCGAAGGATGTGCTGCAGACACAACACAGCCTTCGACGCGACGTCACCCGGACAGCCAAAATCACGCACATGACTGGCCGCGGAAGCCTACGACTTCATTTATACTGAGACCTTACTCAGGGTGAAATATCCTGAAATGAAGGAAGCATAATGGCATCTGTGGCTTGGACGTCGCGTCTTTCGGACAGCCAAGTAAATCTTGCCTCCGGCCGCGGAAGCCTACGACTTCAAAAAAACATAAAACTAGTTGTGCTGAAACTGCACGTACTTTCTTCCCCGCGTTTTCGCGCAAAATTACGCGAAAAGGACCCTATCAAATTTTTGGCACTGTTGTTGAGGGAGATGGCGTTGGGCCGGATGAAAAGTGTGGAGCGGGCCGAGAAGATTTCCTGGAAAGAACGCGAGGGACAGAAGGAGTGGAGGAGAGACAGTGTTTCGAAAAATGGTACATGACCTATTTAAAAATCTATCTTTAACGAACAGATTTCATTCAACAAAATCTCTGTCTATAATATTTTAGTTGTACTACGAAAAATTTTGAATTTTTGCAACTTTAGAAAAATCATTTTTCAACGAACATGAGGCCTGCACCATTTTCTTAAACGCTCTTCACTCTACCCAACAACAAAATTTAATAAAAAACTATGGAGCCACTTTTTTTAAAGTTTGGGAAATGCCTCAGGAGCTTTTTGTATAGTACCCTCAAATTTTAAATATCAATTGCAAATTCAAGGGGCCGCAACATTGGCCTGATCGAATAGGAAATGTCAATTTTGGAGAAAATCGGCTAACGATTTAGCGGCTAGCGTTGTTCCTTAACGGACAGATGTTTTGCCGTAGATCAATTTTTCGGGATCAAAGGACCCACAAAACATGAATTCTGGCTACACCACGTGTAAGAAGATTTCCCCTTCTAAGGGCTTGTTTCACCGGTGCCTGATAAAGTGTCTGATAGTCTATCCACTAGTTATCTTCCTGTGTTGCAAATTTGTGTTTTACTGATAAATCTATCCAGTGGTTAAAGTATCTGGTAAATAATCTGGAGGTTCGAGAGGCTGTTAAATGTTTATCTGGTAGATAACTCCACATGAACAGAATTTGTGTGAACGTGCTGAGATTTTCAAGATTTTCTGTAGTATTTCCGTGATGGACAACGTAATAGAGATGGACGACAAATTCTTTGATGGTTTAGAGCGTTGCGACCAGACGGCATGTCGGCCTGAAACGTTTGAGAACCTTGACGAACAAAATTGCAAATCCCATTTGAAGTTAAGGAAGCCTTCAGTTTACAAAGTTATTACAGAAAATAAAAACAAATAATTTGTGAATATCGACTTATATTTCTGTAAAGCCTGGTTAAGTAATGGTCATGTTAAATTAATTTATGTCAAAATAATAAAATGTATACTTTATGTTTTGTTAGCAATTCAGAGGTATCATCAATGATCCGACTTCTCACTCTGCGTTGTTTTGCAATGGGATAATTTTTTAATTAGAGACTCTATTGAAGTGAGCAAATTACGGCTTCAAGTCTAGTGAGTTCGTGAAGTTTCAAAGGAATATAGAAATCACATAAGAAGACTTATATGAAATTACTAATTTTCTAGAGTTATTGCAGCAATAGATTGCACATATGTTCTCATACAATCACCTGGTATTATGTAACGTACATTTCGTCGATGTTTAAGAGAAATGCCATCTCAAAAATAGCATTTGCAGGAGAATGGTTTTATGTTGGAGCTGATTTTATAGTGTTTTACTCTACATAGTGACTGTCTTTTGAACTATCTGTATGAACTGTTTTCTAATAAATTAATTAAACACAAGTATCCTTTTCTTTTTTAACAATCAATGATTTTTTTCTTCAAAAAAGGTTTTTTTTGTCCAACACACCGATTTGCGAAACAATTACTCTCATCAACATATGTTAGGTAGGCGTGATTGGCATGATCCGTCTGAAAATTTAAAAAACGTCAAACAGATTTTGAAGATAGTTAATAAAATAAAAGAATAAAAAATAAGTTACTTAGAAATATCCACCAATAAAATTTCGGCTAAAACGGTGGAGCCGTTTTTGAAAAAAAAATGTTTAATCAAAAATTAAAAATTGCCTATATTTCATGCAAAAAAATAAAAAAAATAAAAAAAAAATAAAAAAAAAATAAAAAAAAAGAAGAAGGAAAAATTGTACCTAACCTTATTTCAAAATCTATCTTTAAGGAACATATTTCATTTGGGGTAAATATCTTTAATATTTTAGTTGTAGGAAGACGACCAAAGGTTTGAATTGTTGTAATTTTTTACACATTATTTTGGGCTTAAATGGCACCTAAAACAAAAGTAGTACAAACACAAGTTGTAGTGTATGAAATACGAGCCCGTTAAAGTTTTTTGCTCTTATAGCGCATTCGAGGCTCATTTTACAACAATCGTCATATTAAAATTTTGCAAAAAAAGAAAAAAACAACAGTCTTTGAGAGTTGAAAATTACAGATAGCAGTCGTAAAAACAATATTTAAAACATATTGTATTTCGTTTATTAAGAATTAGAATCGTACTAAGCAAACTCAATTAAATAATCACTATAATTAAAAGATGTTTCACATAAGCTCTCATCTACAACTGAACCAGAGAGCTTTGATTAGATTTTTTTTTTTTTTTTGTTGAGAATTTTTAGATTTTTGAGATTCAAAAACCATTGAATAAAATATCAGTGACCTAGATTTGAGAACATGTGTTATCAAATATAATTTATTGTTTTTTAAGTATGTTTCATTACCTGAATTTATTTTTGTACAAAAATATCGTTGAATTTATTTATTTTTGGAATGATGTTTGTATTGATATTGTAATAACAAACATTAAGGTGTTCAATTAAATATAACAGACTTACTAATTTTCACTTTAAATTAATGTTGATTGATAAATAGCCTAAATTTAAATTGTGGACAGATGTCATTAGGTCTTGAAAACCCTTCAATTTAAATATGGAGTTTTATCATGTAATCATGAAACAACATTTCAATGATGACAAAGTGTCATATCTTGAACTTTTCATTCAAAACACTTCTTGCTTTAAGTTTTGATATTGTATAAAACTATAAATCAAATGTCAATTATAAATAAATCACAACTGAATACATTTGGCTCATAATTTTATTTACAATCCTTAAACTTATTTTTGCATGTACAAATGTGTTGTTCTGCATTTTCAGAAGAGGCAGTGCTTCTATGAGAAGAGTAAATCTGAAGAAACATCAGGCAACAATGTTTCCAATTTGTGTTCAGTGGTAATTCTGGTTAAAACAAGGCCTACATGTCTTTATTACCAAGCATTTGAATTATAATCAACAAAAAACATTCACATTCTACCATCTGACCTCTTATTGAATTATAGCAGGGGTTTTCCAACTTTTTTGGGACATGATTCCCTTGATATGAAACATCCTACAGTTTTATATAAAAGAATTCTCCAAAAATGCAGAGGAAGGATGACCATGCTTTTTAATCAACAATTTAAGTTACCCCGAATGTAGATCTAACGCACAAAATACTTTTTTTTCTTTCTTTCAGGAAATAGAATAAACCCTTTAATGAATGGAAATACCTTTATTTCTGTATAAAAAAAAACAACAACATACCATCAATATACTACATACTGCGAATTATTTTCGTCAAGGCCGTGAAATTAAAGATGACAAAACAAAAATAATACAAAATTTAGTGGAAAAGAGATCTATTTACTAAAAGTGGAAAAGTTATCTAACCACAAAAATTAGAAGACAGTTGTTATTGTGCTCATCAACTGTAATTTTCTTTAAGAATCTGATAGAACTCATAGTATTGTGGAGGAATGATTTGCACGTATCTAATAAATCCCTTTTTCTACCCTTAATTGCAGTCTTCTTGATACAGTTGAGTGTGTTGTGTTGTGAGTGGTTGCATCTGAATTCTTCTTTTGTGAGTTTGCTGGATCTCATTAGTTACACATAGTGGAAGAATATAGGAAATGCAGTTCCATATTCTTTAAAATGCAAGATGAAACTTCAGAGAATTCTGTTTTAGCCACTGATTCGTTCAAAAAAAATAAAGCTCTGTCTGCTCCCATATCATGAATAACGTCGAAAACTGCCTTTGGCAACAATAACTTTATTATTTGGACAACATAAAACCCAGAACTACACACAAAAAAGCACAAGCATTTCACATATTCCCTTAAACATTACTTACTAAGGAGCTTATTGGAAAAGGACTTGCTAGGTTCAATTACCACAATTAGTTAGTAAAATAAATTATATATACTACAAATAACATATTGTATAATAGTACAAAAGTATTTTTTAGACATAGATGTCACAAGAATTAAAATAAACCAAATCTAAAGATCATTTTCAATAAATCATTGCGACGCCTCCTACCGCACGGCCGTGTCGCCCATGGGAACGGCGACGCATTGTGTGAAAAACCCTGAATTATAGAATTCGCATGTGGAAAGATTAAATTGAAATTCCCGCAAATTGTCTACATCGATTGCCTATAATTACGGGTCAAATGAATTCTTTTATATAATTATTTATTACAGTAATCTTTCTAAAAAAGAAAATGCTTTAATTGAAAAATTATTTAAAATATATTTTAGTTATCTTTAATAAAACTAAATAAGGAATTAGTCATGTTAGACAAACATCAGATCTCGTTCGTACTCATATTCATACTCATTACCAGCCGATTACTCTGTGATGTTTATAACATCTCTCTGATGATTATTCGTATGTTCATGTTGGTAAACAAACAGTAATTAAGACAAGGAAATGGCGCTCACTCTCTGCTTTCATTAGTCATGTATTCTTTACTTTGTTGCATGTCACCTTATATTTTCTTTCACAACTATCATTTTTGATTTATTTGGATGCATTGTTACCTATTTTCTTTCTGCTAGTGAATAAGATTATGATGAAACTTCATGAGTAAAAATCCGCGAAAATGAGGTAGTAATGTTGTCAGTCCGATACCAACTTCATGGAGATTTGTAAATATGGTTTTTGAGAAACATTCAGCTCGATTATTGTTGAAATGTATTTTAATTGTTAATAAATTCACAAAAACATTATACAGATTCTATATTAGAGAAATATTTGATTTCAAAATTATTATTTTTTTGATTCTGGAGTGCTTTGGAGAATTTTATCTTTTCCTCGAAGGTGTTTGGATGACCGTCTGTTGCCAACTTTGTGTTAGAACTTCTGTGTCCGTTGGTAGTGTGCGGTGTTTTGTTACCGCGATTTGCATTTCAAAATTCTCTCTCAAATTTGTATGTGAGCGGTAGGTTTTAAGATGTCGAAGCCAGAAGAAAGCATCGATGGAGGTGAGGGTGATACTGGTGAGAATTCCAATGCATCATCCGTCGATACCGCTTCATCCCGAGAGAAGGCAGAGGATTATGAAGCAAAAGTTGTTACTGACCGTAGCAAAAGATTTGAGTATCTTTTGAAGCAAACAGAAATTTTTACTCATTTTATGTCCAATAGTCAAAGTAACAAATCTCCAAGCAGTCCTCTTAAAGCGCGACCCGGTCGACCTAGGAAAAATCCAACTCCACAAGATCCAAAAGATTCAACTAGTAAGGAAATTGGAGATCATCGTCATCGCAAAACAGAACAAGAAGAAGATGAAGAACTCCTTGCAGAAAGCAATGCGAATCAAAAATCTATTATATCCTTTGACCAGTCACCTCCATATATTAAGAATGGTGAAATGAGAGACTACCAGGTGCGTGGGTTAAACTGGATGATATCTCTATATGAAAATGGTATTAGTGGTATCTTAGCTGATGAAATGGGCTTAGGAAAGACACTTCAAACCATTTCTCTTCTTGGTTACATGAAACATTATCGAAACATTCCAGGGCCACACATTGTAATAGTGCCCAAATCAACACTTGCTAATTGGATGAGTGAATTTGAAAAATGGTGCCCGTCGCTACATGCCGTATGCTTAATTGGTGAGAAAGATGCAAGAAATGCTTTTATACGTGACACTTTAATGCCAGGGAAGTGGGATGTGTGCATTACATCTTATGAAATGGTTATTAAGGAAAAAAGTGTTTTTAAAAAATTTAATTGGCGATACATGGTAATAGATGAGGCTCACAGAATTAAAAATGAAAAGTCTAAGCTTTCGGAAATTGTGAGGGAGTTCAAGACCACGAACCGCCTTTTATTAACAGGTACACCTTTACAAAACAATTTACATGAACTTTGGTCCTTACTTAATTTTCTTCTTCCGGAAGTTTTCACATCATCAGAAGATTTTGATTCTTGGTTTAACACCAACAGCTTCTTGGGTGACAATTCTCTTGTAGAGAGATTGCATGCTGTTCTTCGGCCATTTCTTTTGAGACGTTTGAAATCAGAGGTGGAGAAGAGATTGAAGCCGAAGAAAGAACTGAAAGTATATGTTGGACTTAGCAAAATGCAAAGAGAATGGTATACAAAAGTATTAATGAAAGATATTGATATTGTAAATGGTGCTGGAAAGATAGAAAAGATGAGACTGCAGAACATTCTTATGCAGTTACGAAAGTGTACCAACCATCCCTATTTGTTTGATGGTGCAGAACCAGGTCCTCCGTACACAACTGATGAACATTTGGTGTACAACTGTGGTAAAATGGTTATTTTGGATAAACTTCTGCCCCGGCTTCAGGAACAAGAATCAAGGGTTTTAATCTTCAGCCAAATGACTCGTATGTTGGATATATTGGAAGATTACTGCCACTGGAGAGGTTACCATTATTGTCGACTTGATGGCCAAACTCCTCATGAAGATCGACAGCGACAAATTAATGAATACAATGCTCCAGGAAGTGAAAAATTTATTTTTATGTTGTCAACAAGAGCAGGAGGTCTTGGAATTAATTTGGCTACAGCTGATGTTGTTATAATATATGATTCAGATTGGAACCCGCAAATGGATTTGCAAGCAATGGATCGAGCACATCGAATTGGCCAACAAAAGCAAGTCAGAGTTTTTCGCTTCATTACAGAAAACACTGTGGAAGAAAAGATAGTTGAAAGAGCAGAAGTAAAACTCAGATTAGATAAACTAGTTATACAACAGGGTCGATTAGTTGACAGTAAAGTAAGTCAGTTGAACAAGGATGAAATGCTGAATATGATTCGTCATGGTGCCAATCATGTGTTCGCTTCAAAGGATTCAGAAATAACAGATGAGGACATTGACACCATTTTAATGAAAGGGGAAGCAAAGACTGAAGATCTGAAACAGAAGTTAGAAGGTCTTGGAGAATCATCTCTTCGCAATTTTACACTGGACACTGGAAATACAGACTCAGTGTATCAGTTCGAAGGTGAGGATTACAGAGAGAAACAGAAGGTTCTGGGTGTAGGAAACTGGATTGAACCTCCAAAACGAGAAAGGAAAGCCAATTATGCTGTTGATGCATACTTCAAAGAGGCTTTGAGAGTAGCAGAACCTAAGGCACCAAAAGCTCCCCGACCACCTAAGCAACCAATTGTACAAGATTTTCAGTTCTTTCCACCTCGTTTGTTTGAACTGTTAGATCAGGAAATTTATTACTTCCGAAAAACTGTTGGTTATAAAGTTCCAAAAAATCCTGAATTAGGTGCTGATGCTTCTCGCATTCAAAAAGAAGAGCAGCGTAAAATTGATGACGCTCAACCATTAACTGAAGAAGAAATTTCTGAGAAAGAACAACTGCTAACTCAAGGGTTCACTAACTGGACTAAACGAGACTTTAATCAATTTATCAAAGCAAATGAAAAATATGGACGAGATGATATTGAAAATATCGCAAAAGATGTGGAAGGAAAAACCCCAGATGAAGTGATGGAATATAGTACTGTTTTCTGGGAACGATGTCATGAATTACAAGATATTGATCGAATCATGGCACAGATTGATCGTGGTGAAGCAAAAATACAACGTAGAGCAAGTATTAAGAAGGCTCTTGATGCCAAGATGGCCATGTATCGAGCTCCTTTCCATCAGCTTCGTATTGCCTATGGTACTAACAAAGGGAAAAATTACACCGAAGAAGAAGACAGGTTCCTTGTCTGCATGTTGCACAAACTTGGCTTTGACAAAGAAAATGTGTATGAAGAATTGAGAGCATGTGTAAGATCATCTCCTCAGTTTAGATTTGATTGGTTTCTTAAATCACGCAAAGCTATGGAATTACAGCGTCGCTGCAATACACTTATTACTCTCATAGAACGAGAAAATCAAGAATTGGAAGAAAAAGAACGTGCTGAGAAGAAGAAACGTGGACCTCGTGGGAGTAACCCTTCGGGGGGAGCGATTACTGGTGCAAATGCAAATGCAGGGAACAAAAATGTTCAAAAGCGGAAGAGTGAGAACATGCTTCTTGAAAACAAACTTTCGTGGAAGAAGAAAAAGAACAATGAAAAGTGATACATGCCTGGTTACTCGAGTGAGTGAGTTGCAGTTTCAGATGGGTGAAGAGAAGACCAGTTCGTTTTCTTATGTCTATTTGAAACAATTGTTCAATCAAAAAATTTACTTTCAACCATTGTATTGGTAGTGGTTGTGATTCTTTGAAATGTGTTTTAGGTGATATTTTATTTGTTTCTGTAAATGTCTTGTATAATTCTAGTATCTGTGTGGAAATGAAATATGATCTGATGATATAATCTAATGATGAATTGTGTTGAAACATTATTTTTGAGATTCTTCATTTGGAGATGTGAATGTACTTGGTACAAGTACATTGAAAATAATGGAATGTATGTAAACAGTTGAAATAATGTTGCACATTGGTTGAAAAGAACTTCACTTTCCTCCTATCTGAAACTTCTTTATAATAGTATTATTAGTTTTATGTAATTTTGATTAACGTTCATGTCTGAAAGACAAAATTAAGTTTTTTTTATTTATTACCTTCTATTCCTGATAACAATGATGTATATTTTCTCTGGTGTGAACTTGACTTGATACCTTCTATTTTCTCAGGAAAATGGACCAGGAGTGCCCATGACAAATTGTCTTGATTATGTCCAAATTTCATATATCACAGAATTGATAAGTGCAGGTTATATTTAGTGAATGTGTGAATGCGTGTGTGTGTGCAATGTATATATGCGCCTTTATCTGAAGAATAAACAAGGTTTTCACATCTTATTCTCTAGTGAGTGAGGAAGTGCATTAACAGAATGTGGTTAGTTATAGTGAATGTTTATAGCGGAATGAAATGCACATAATTTATTTCATGTAAAAGCTCTTGAAAATCTACTTCTGTCTGACTTCTTAAAATAAAATTGGAAAAATGTGAAATTGTGTTTCATTTCATGAACATCCTGTCATTTATCAGACTTCTAGTTAATAGGTACATTAAACTGATAGCATTGGTGTTTGCTTTGAGTAACAGGTGACATTATGCAAATGTAATGCAACATTTTAGATTGAAAATTACTTTATTGATGTAACTAATTTAAATTATTTCTCTTTTGCAAATTTTCAGTGGTGACTGTGTGATTTCCATGTGTTAAAAGATATTGGAAAGTGAAAACCTGTAATTACTGATAATTAAAAGCGGTGAGCTCAAACTTTGATGAAACTTAGTCCAAGATTTAAAGAGATGAATTTCAGAATTCTGCAGGAGGCTGATGCAAATTTAGGTAAGCTTTAGTCTCATATTTTCGTAGAGCCTTCTGGCAGTGCTAATGTAAATTATGATTTCTGAAATTGTTATTGCCTTGCTTTCATTCTCAGTTAGAAATTTTAAATTTTCTCAGGTCAGATAGTTACAAAAATTAAAAACAAGGAATTGGATTGCAAGGAAAATAATCTTGTATATCCTGCATTGGAACTCTACATTTTGATGCTTACAAAATAATAATTGAAAAAAAGAAGAATACATTCTTCTATTAATTAAATTGACTCATTTTTTTCGTATTTTTTGAAACAATTTTTTTTAACATAATTTGTCCTCATAAATCCTATGGGAAAATAAATTGCTACAATGTCGAGGAACTACCTTGTCACTGTGCTATAGAATTAATGAAGCATTCTAATCTATGGCCCAGTATGCAGGGCATAATGATGTAAAATGGACTGTAGAAGAGTTTCAAGTGAGATTGAATGAGGCAAGATTAAGTGAGTTAGTAAGAATTTCAATATTCCTTTGTGTCAAAAAATACTCTCAATGTACCTGTTATTTACTTAATGTAACAGGTGCAATTGCTGCTTAGGTAGTGTTTTGCTACCTGTGAGCAATAACCTAGAATCTGTAATGCTTAATGTAAGATTGGTGAATCTGAATCAAAAGAACATGAAGCTGAAGAACATTCTGCAGCAACAGAATGCAGCAGTAAATAGTATCTGGCATGAAGACTGTAAATCTTTGAGGTAACTGGTAATGAATTGAAGATCCACTGTAGAATACTTATGTTCTTGTCACTTACTAATTGGAAAGTTGTAGACTATGAAAACAGATTAGACTTCAATGAATGGGGTCACCCGGAGAAAACAAGAAGCTAGGGCAGTAAATCTCATTTCAAACTGATGGTCTGTCCTGATACATAAATAGAAGTAAATTCCTTGGTGGTAGCAGATATCTTGTGGTAATCCATAATATGGTAAAGGAAATAACCTCCACTTTTTGTGGAGATTATTTCCTTTACCATATTATAAATAGAAGTAATTTCTCTATGCTACAGAAATTACTTATAGTGGACAGTTTGAATTAGAAGTAAATATATTATTTGCTTTGAATTAAAGTTTTGGGGAGTCAAGGTCTGGGG